ATTTTATTACAATACCTATGGAACTGAGAACCTTGTCGCCAATATGGCGTCCATAGTCTTTTCCATCTTGAATCTCGCGACAAATTCCCGCATTAACGAGATGCTGGAGAATCGAAATTTTAATTCCAACCCTTATGGTACAAATCCTTGTTACTTTCGTTTTCAACTATAACTTGCTCTCGATCGTCATAGACCTGACATGTGACGTCATTCATTGATGAATCAGCGGAAACTGTTGCATTTTTAACAACCTGTAATAATTGATATTTCATATGCGTACTCTCTTTTTAAAAACAGATTTATTCACCTTTTAATAAACTTTACTATATTTTGGTGAAACAAAAAAACTTAGTTTAACGAATTCCAGTGACGTCACTGTCTAGACTGCGTACTACGCACTATGGAGGGGCGGATCTTTCTGTGGCCGTTTCACCAGACTTTACGGAAAAGAAACAACTCTAATTTATTTGTTAATAAAATTTATTAATTACGAATGTCTTCAGGATTATTTTCAATACACATACTAGAAATATAAGATTTTTTGTGACACACTATAATTTTTCTATTGAATAATACATTTTAAAAAAATGTTTTAGTGGTAAAAAGCATGAAAAGCTTTACTGAATTCTGGTATGAACTCAAGAAGGGGGGAAGGGGTATGCATTTTGATTTTTAAAATTTTTTCTTAATTTTATTTATTTATTATTTATCTATTCATTCATTCATTCTTGTCTTTGATTACTTGCTTGTTCCTATATACATTTGTAGGTGGAGCCTGTGTCTCATTTTTGTTGTGAATTTTTTTTCTCAAAAGATTTATCATTTTTTTAAGTGTTAAATTTCAGTTTTGTGAAGCTCACCATCAAAAGAAAAATCTTTGGACATGTCTGAAGCTCAAACTACCACATCAAACACATGTTCCATTTATACATGTGGATACGTTTCAACGGATAAAATAAAATGGTTTCTAATTTTTATTTTAAAAAGTACTTTTAGAAATATAGAACAGAAAATGTATTAGCCAGTTGGAACCTATGGTGGATTATGATAGTGTATAAAGTATAAAATCATGAGAAAAACTAAGTTAAACAAGCATTCTGAGAGTATTGCATTAGCAATACTAGTCCCCTACCGGCAAGTGTAATCTGGTTCCCGTTAAAAATTGAAAATGCCATAATTCCGTCAAAAATTAATGAAGTGGGACGAAATGCAAACTTGATCTATAACTAATCAAGGTAAAGCCACATACGAAAAATCAGCTCAATATCTACAAGCGTTTAGAAGAAAATTGCGGAAAACCTCTAAAATTGAAAAGGCCGTAATTCCGTCAAAAATCAATGAAGCGGAACGAAATGCAAACTTGATCTGTAACTTATCAAGATACACTCACATACCAAAAATCAGCTCAATATCTGCAAGCGTTTAAGAAAAAAGTGCGGAAAACCAAGTGGGACAGACTGACAGACAGACAGAGGGACAGACAGACAGACAGACGGACAGACAGACAGACAGACGGACAGACAGAGGGACGGACAGACTCAGAGGAAACCTATATTCCCCTCCGGTTTCACCGGTAGGGGACTAACAATACATGTACATAACCATATGAGAAAAAGTAAGTTAAACAATACAGGAGGGATGGCAAAATACATGACATGTATATGAGTAAAGTTTCGTGTTCTCTTGGCTTAAACCCCCCCCCCCAAAAAAAAAAAAAAAAAAACCCCAAAAAACGAATCTTCATTTGACATTACCCATGCTAATCCATGTAAAGAGTTCAAAGTTGTTGAGTAGTGCTAAAATATCTTTTTTTTTAAAGCTTCCATATATGATCCATTTTATTATGTTGTGGATAGGGATGTCACAAAACATCAATTACTGATGCAGAGGGGGGGGGGGGGGGTCGATACATTGACAAATATTCTATTCAGAAATGTATCCTATTATTCACAAGTTTTGGTTTAAAAATTCTAATAGTTTTCGCTTAAACAATTTAATATTTGGAAAAAAAAACGTTCATTGAGTTAAATTCGTTTTTCCAGATATTAAAAAAAAAATATCTTGCGTTTATGTTAGTTTTAGAAAGCACTAAAGACTATTCGAATCAGATTAGTTTTTTTAAAAATGCAGAAACGTTACATTTACTCTACATTTTTCCATTAAAATTAAGAAAATAATTCTCAGAAATTTTGCGATGCTGATACTTTTAGCCCTCACGATACACAGCCCTAGTGTTGGTCAGATGATCAGTTTCCAAGTGTTCTGATAACCCAGGAGTCAGATCATCTTTCTGTAGTTTGGGTCCCGAGTTCAACTTCCGATGTAGTCCCTGACAATGGTCCTTATTAGTCCCCTACCGGTGAAACCGGAGGGGACTATAGGTTTCCTCTGAGTCTGTCCGTCCGTCTGTCTGTCTGTCTGTCTGTCTGTCTGTCCGTCTGTCTGTCTGTCTGTCTGTCCCTCTGTCTGTCTGTCAGTCTGTCCCACTTGGTTTTCCGCACTTTTTCCCTAAACGCTTGCAGATATTGAGCTGATTTTTGGTATGTAAGTGTATCTTGATGAGTTACAGATCAAGTTTGCATTTCGTTCCGCTTCATTGATTTTTAACGGAATTACGGCCTTTTCAATTTTTAAGGGTTTTCCGCAATTTTCTTCTAAACGCTTGTAGATATTGAGCTGATTTTTGGTATGTGGCTTTACCTTGATTAGTTATAGATCAAGTTTGCATTTCGTCCCGCTTCATTAATTTTTGACGGAATTATGGCATTTTCAATTCTTAACGGGAACGGAACCAGATTACACTTGCCGGTAGGGGACTAGTATTGCTAATGCAATACTCTCAGAATGCTTGTTAGTCCCCTACCGGTGAAACCGGAGGGGACTATAGGTTTCCTCTGAGTCTGTCCGTCCGTCTGTCCGTCCGTCTGTCTGTCTGTCTGTCTGTCTGTCTGTCCCTCTGTCTGTCTGTCAGTCTGTCCCACTTGGTTTTCCGCACTTTTTTCTTAAACGCTTGCAGATATTGAGCTGATTTTTGGTACGTGAGTGTATCTTGAGGAGTTACAGATCAAGTTTGCATTTCGTTCCGCTTCATTGACTTTTGCCGGAATTACGGCCTTTTTAATTTTTAAGGGTTTTCCGCAATTTTCTTCTAAACGCTTGTAGATATTGAGCTGATTTTTGGTATGTGGTTTTACCTTGATTAGTTATAGATCAAGTTTGCATTTCGTCCCGCTTCATTAATTTTTCACGGAATTATGGCATTTTCAATTCTTAACGGGAACCAGATTACACTTGCCGGTAGGGGACTAGTATTGCTAATGCAATACTCTCAGAATGCTTGTTTGTATTTGATGTCATAACCATGCATTGGAAGTAAAAGATGAGAATTAAATGACTTGATGTTTCTGGATTGGTTTTTTTTTTATTAAGTCGTGAAAGATAAAGAAATGATGCTCATGCAAGCTCACGTATAATTGTTGGACAGATACATATAGATGAAAAAGTTCACGTTTAAGAGTTCTTTGGCCTGGGTAGGTTGAATCCCTGACTGGCGACACTGGTCCAGTGCACACTCTTTCCCCGTTATGCTATTTGATTTTGAGTGCTCTGGCCAAGCAATTCATGATGAAATATCTTAGTAAAAGTTTTGCAGCTTTATAAAACCAAATACTCTTAAATTTCTTTATTTGAAATAAAAAATATTTGAGGTAAGAGAACTTAATTAGAGCTTTTTTAAAAGGACTGAGGTCTTTGTTATGACTTACAACTTGATTTTAACACTGATTTATCATTAAACAATAAAATGTAGAAATGTTCACTTGATGGCTCCGCCCTCACCAACGGTCGCACCGTCTTACATATTAGTACATTTATGTGTGTGTGTTTTACTAAAGTTACTATGAAATTGATTGAATGCCATTTCACGTTAAAATGAGGCAACCGAGATGGAAACATAACAATAGGGGAAGAATACGAAAGTCTTAAGTAAAAAAAAAAAATCATTTGTTTCCACTTTCTCCGTGGTGACAGAACGTGTTGCTTTTAAAATTGAGTAACGTGTCATTGAGTTCCATTTAAAATCAAATGGAATGAACTTTTACACATCGACAAAATAAATATTTTTACAAAAGAAAATGCTTTGTCTTATACTAGTATATAGGAATCTCAGTTCTTTATTCATTGCCATTCTCAGAGAATTCCCGACATTTCTGGCGCTTTACGGTAATATAACTAGAAAAATTTCATTGTTAATTTTTCAGTGGTCATATATTCAATAATAGATATGTTACACACTAATATGTTGACGGTGCAATCGTAAGGGCGAGCGCAGATACCTTTCAGTTTTAATTTAGATCGGGCTCGTCAAACAGCACGTGACATTTGCTACGTCTAGACTCTGACGTCATATGACGTCGTATGTATGTTGCATTACCAAAACGAAGTCTGAACAGTGCTAATTTTAATCAAGAACGTTTGATTTATATGCTTTATATCCATTATATCAAGGTGATTTTATTTTTTTGTCGAATTTTTGTTGCTACCGCGAGAACGTTGTTTGCGGCGAGATGCAATTCGCTAAGCATTATGGGACCACAGGTAACTGCGGAAAAAAATTCATTTGGATCAATGTGTAAAGTCCGAATTTTCTCTTCGCCCAGGTGTTGCTTTAAGAGCTCGCAGTGACGAGCGGCGCTTCGCGCCGCTCGCTGCGCTCGCTATTAAAAATTTTCCTTATATAGAATCAAAGCTAAAATAAAGATAAACTGTGTGAGCCTGTGCAGAGCGTTGATTACAGTAGCTGGGCCCCAACATAAAAGTCTGGATGTTCAGCAAATCGTCGGAAGAGTGTCAGGCTTTCAATAATAAGTCCAGTAACAGACTTTCGAAAATCAAATGTAACCATGTTACGTTTTGTGTTACTATGTACCTATTAACCTCACTGTACACTTCTCATATCTCACGTATATCCCTCAAAACTTCAAAAAAAAAAAGGAGAACAATTTACAATGATGAGTAAAAATCTTTGTATTATATAAATAAACAAATACATTTCAGTCCCCAGGCAGTCTGTCTTGATTAAAACATTCCATCACAGTTTAGTATACCTTCTGAAGTAATAATAATAATAAAAAAAACGTTAGTTCAAAATAAATAAATAAATAAGTAAATAAATAAATAAAATAAGTTAATAAAAAAAAATGTGTGAACAGTTTTTTACTTAGTTTTCAGAAAAAAGCCACCAAGCCTTAATTTGGCGTTGTACGTAATGTAAAGATATGATCTCACCTTTCCACCGCCAGATCCACCACCGATGATTCCTATAGAGGAGCCACCTACTCCGGATCCACCAAGAAAGACACCTTGCCCTCCGAATCCGCCGGCTCCAGAAGCTGCAGCGGCAGCAGCAGCAGCAGCACTTGATCCGCCAAATCCGCCAGCTCCAGCGGCAGCACCTGCAGCAGCTCCTGCTCCGCCTCCACCGATTCCTATAAACCCACCTTTAGGATAGAAGGGTCCAGGTGGATAGATTGGACCAGGAAAAGGGTACACTGGCCCAGGGTAGATAAATCCACCTGATCCACCAGCTGCTGCAGCAGCAGCGGCAGCAGCGGCGGATCCACCAAAACCAGAGGCACCAGCTGCTGCTCCGGCTCCGGCTCCAGCTCCAGGAAAGTAGATAGGTCCTGGTGGGTAAATGGGTCCTGGTGGATAGATAGGTCCTGGTGGGTAAATAGGTCCAGAATAAATTGGACCAGGGTAGATAAATCCACCTGATCCACCGGCGGAAGCACCAGCACCTGCTGCAGCTCCTAATCCACCAGCAGCGGCAGCAGCCGCTGCTGCAGCAGCGGCGGCTCCACCAAGTCCAGCTGCACCGGCGGCTGCCCCAGCCCCAGCTCCTCCAATTCCACCAATGCCTCCGTAGTAAATATCTGGGTAGTATCCACCATGGAAAGCACCATCGAAAGCTCCTCCTGCAGCCCCTGCAGAAGCAGCCGCAGCGGCGGCTGCGGCAGCAGCAGCAGCAGCACTACCACCACTGCCGCCTCCTAAGAAAATCCCAGATCCACCACCTCCGCTACCAGTTTGAAAGACAGCTATTCCATCCCCTCCGGAGCCTCCCTTGGGATAATAGCTACCTCCGGGTCTAGCAGTTGCTAAAGCGAGCAGTGTGAAAAGGGAAATAAAACCCAACATGTTTTCTGAAATAAAATAATATAAAATAAAACATCTTTCTTTCAAGGAGAAATGAAAAAGTAATTGTATTAGGTAATTTTACGGGTATTCATAATTCCCTACTCCAATAAATAAAATTATTATATTTTTTTCTTTTTGAAAGACTTCTCTTCTTGGTTAACATGTATCTTTACTCAAAGTAAATGCAGCAATTTTGCATTTTCAAAAGTATTCGAGGGCAAATGATATTTTTAAAGCATTACCGCAAGTTGTAGAATTTTTATTTAGATTTAATAAAATCAGTTCGATGCAAATTTAGTAAAACCTGCCGGATATGGTTACCAAAAATCAGAAACTATAACTTGAAAAATAAATCCAAAAATAACCAGCCATAGGATAATGAACTGGGAATGATCATTTGCTATAAATCAAGAAAAACTCTTCAGAAATTATAAGCATTTTAGTTAAAAATATCATTTAAGATAAAATTTATCGGCTAAATTTATCTAATTTAACTTACTGTTACCCAGAATGGTGACCAAGGCAGTGTGCATTTTCGTGTAAAATTCATCTCTTTTTATACCATTTCAATTTTTTGAATTAGTGCTCTATTGGTCAGCTTTAATGTTGTACACAGGTACAATTGCAAATCATCACTTCCGTGTAAAAATCACAGAAGAATGTAGTCAAGCGAAACGATTTATCATCCCAATTAAGAAATGACACTCTGCTTCATTACGTAAAATGTTAAACTTTTGAAACATGAAATAATCACGGGTTTGTCAAATTAATTATGTATTTCTGCAGAAGTATACTTAAATCTTCTTATTGAAATAATACACAGGATGAGTTTCGTGTTTTTCTATTTTACTTTCAATAAAACACGTCCGCTGTGACCCCTCAGTAAGGAATTTGCACGTTTTCAATTTCAAACTTGAGTTCTGAACGTTTTAAAATTCAGACAAACAAAAAAGCGGCTTTTGAAGATTACTGTTTGTATTTGTTAATGAAACTTTCGTTCTTGGGAGCACTGTGCTGATTTTTTTTTTTAATTTTTTTTTGAAAATTCATGATCATCAATGTCTAAATATACACTACACACAACTACTGCTAGTGTATATACCAAATATCATGACAAAAGTACTTGTCTTAGATTCATAATCTGATGCAAGAAGAGGCATTGGACATATATGGTACCGAAATGCACTAAGAAATCTATTCTTATATGATTTATTTATTTAATAAAGGAATGTTTTACATCTGCAAGGGTTCATTGATATTATATACATTTCTCTATAATGATTCCTTTTGATTAACAATAAACGCGTAGAAAAGTCGGAGAGAGAAGAGACTTGTTTGGGCTAATTAAATATTTCACTAATGGATTAAGACCTTGAGTCTGCGCGTTGGGGATATTTGAGCAATTTTAATTCACGATTCTATTTTCTAGTGACCATTAGGGTAAAACATAAAGCCTCTTAATAATAAATTGAGCCTTTTTTGTCATGTAGCATGTGTACACAAAAAACATTAACAATTTGATTTTGTATTGACTCCGAAATCGTCATATTTAAAATTTTGCATTTACATTTTTGCATTAAGATTTCAGTAGTGATTGAAATAATTATTTTAATAGTTGCTGGCAATGATTTCAATATCAAAACCACATTGCAAGCCTTACTGAAATTACCCTACTATTGAAAAAAAATATAAGGATAAATTGTTCATTACTTTGTGCAACATAATATATAATATATTTATTGAGTTTAATATATGACGTGTAAATTTATGTATTCCTTTCTTTTCTACAAATTACCATTAAGGAGGTTGGATCCTGCCATCAAAAGTAATGAGCATTTTTTATCAAGTATATTTTTAGAATTTAGACACATAGCTTAATTAAAAATCAAAACAAAAAATGGGGGTCAATGCGCTTCTTTTGGCGCTACAGAGCATTTAGTTTGACCTCTTTGCACTGTAAATACATCTTACACATAAATCAATTTTTAAAGTTTTTCCTACAATATTTTTTATTCAAATAAATTATGGGAACAAACACAGCCTTATTTCATCTTGAATAGACACATTAAAATTTGTAAGAACGAAAAAATTTTGAAATTACTCCGCATGTTCAATTATTTGACCTTTTTGCACTCAAAAAAAAAATCATTTTTCTGGCATTAAAAATCTAACAAGCAAAAAAATAATTTGAAAGTAATGACATTTTACTGAATTTAAGAAGAATAGTTAAAAGTATCTTATATATTCAGAAAATAAAATAAAAAGTGGGGGTCTGTGTCATAAGCGTAATGTATATTTGTTTAAATTATTTCTTTAAAAAATGCACTTTGTTCCAACCACTTACATACCTTTTAATCAGTATAGGTATAATTATAAGAATATTTCACTATCAGATGTACAGCAGATTTTAATCATATATGGAAATGATTTTTTTTTTACCAAAACTGAGAAAATTAATTAATGATTCTTGTGTGCAGAGTTCGTGCTCCAGGTTGCCTCAGTTGGAGAGTTTATTGAAATTCATAGACGCTTTGAAATTCCCCAGAACTCCTGATATCTTACAGACAAGTTGTTCGTATATGACTATTCTCCAAAATAGTGAAGCTCTAGACATCTTGATTCGTTATTCAGATCTGCAATGATAATACCCAAGTCCTTCGGACATAAATAGGGGCTGACATACCACGAGTTTCCATCAGAGACTTTGACTAAGTGATTACTAAAACTGTAGAAACATTACAAACGATAGAGTCTGGTAATGACTGAAGGTCGTTTGAAGTAAACTCATTGTAAGTAAAAATTACGAAATTGTTTTCAGGGTTATATAAATATTACTTAGTGGCATAGAAACATGGAAAAGTCTTTGCTTACAAAAAGAATTAAGAACATTAAATTAAAAACAAACGAATAAGGAACTTGTCTATGATAGTCGGGTGGCTCAAATCTTTGTGTGTATGTTGAAAAGATTTTCATACTAAGGTGATCATCAAGACCCTTGAGTCTTTGTATTTAATGTATTTAATGACAGGTGATTTTACATTGACTATTTTACATTTTGTAATGTTATATATATATATATATATATATATATATATATATATATATATATATATATATATATATATATATATATATATATATATATATATATATATATATATATATATATATATATATATATATATATGCATTTTGAGTGAATCAAGGTTGTGTAATTTTATCATTAAAAGGTAGACGATAACAATTAAACAGTTTGCAAAATACAAATGCCTACGAACATTAGTTTTTAGCTCACCTCAACGAAGTTGAGGGGAGCTTATGTAATACCCTCGACGTCTGTGTCAGCATCACAGGTTAAAGATTTTGGAGCAGATTTCTTTTCAAGTACTCCTATGCCCTATATTAATCAGAGATGCATGGAGGATGCTTCTCGTATGTTTCATTGTACCAGTCAAGGTTTCAGATGCTGCAATTTCAGCTGAAGAATGACCTGGTTAGTGTTTTTGGAGCAGGTTAAAGTTTTTGGAGCAGATCTCATTTCCAAGTTAACTATAACCCCTGTGTTGACCAAACTTACATGGATGATACATCTAAGGATGCACACTACTGGACTCGCTGATAGATGTACAGACAGATTTGAAACATTTATTGATTTTAAACAAGCCTTTGATACTGTTTGGCGATCTAGTTTGTGGTCCAAAGTGTTAAAAAGAGGTATAGATGGTAAATGTCTAAGATTTATCAAAAACATGTACAGTGGTATTAAATCGAAGATATATATTGATCAAAATACCTCAGATTTTTTCATGTGTAACCTTGGGGTAAGACAAGGGGAAAATTAATCCCCATTTCTTTTCACTTTATATATTAATGATTTAGAAAACTATTTTTATGCCCCAAGATCGAAAGATCCCGGGGGTATATTGTTTTTGTCCTGTCTGTCTGTTTGTCTGTTTGTCCGTTTGTCTGTTCGTCTGTCTGTCTGTTGTCAACTTTAACCTTGCCCATAACTTTTGATTGGTTAGAGCTATGACTTTCATATTTCACATGTGTATTCCTTTTGACAAGACCTTTCTTTGGGCACCATCATATTTGACCTTTTGACCTTGACCTTGGAGTTTGACCCACTTTTGCAAAATTTTCTGAGACTTTAACCTTAGCCATAACTTCTGAACAAGTGGTGCTTGGGGTTTCAAACTTCACATGTGTATTCTTTGTGACAAGGCCTTCCTTTGGATACCAACAACTTTGACCTTTTGACCTTGACCTTGGAGTTTGACCTACTTTTGAAAAACTTTAACTTTGGCCATAACTTTTGAACAGTTGTGCTTGGGGTTTCAAACTTCACATGTGTATTTCTTGTGACAAGAACTTCCTCTGGATATCAACCTCTTTGACCTTGACCTAGGAGTTTGACCTACTTTTGAAAAACTTTAACCTTGGCCATAACTTTTGAATGGTTGGTGCTAGGGCTTTCATACTTCACATATGTACTCCTTGTGACAAGGCTTTCCTCTGGATATCAACCACTTTGACCCTTTGACCTTGACATGAAGTTTGACTTACTTTCGAAAAACTTTAACCTTGGTCATATCTTTTGAATGGTTGGTGCTAGGGCTTTCATACTTCACATATGTAATCCTTGTGACAAGACCTTCCTTCGGATACCAACCACTTTGACCTTGACATTGACGTTTTACTTACTTTGAAAAACTTTAACCTTCGCCATAACAGTTGCAGCTAGGTCTTTCAAATTTCACAGGTATATTCCTCGAGTCAAGACCTTAGGTACCAACATTTTTATCTTTTCGCCTGGATGTTGACTTGCATTTGAGAAACTTTAACCTTCTCCATAAGCTGCCATACGGGGACATCAGTGTTTCACAAACACATCTTGTTTGCAGAATAATATTGAAGGGGTTACGAGCTTTAGTGAAAAGTTAGAAATTGAAATGCAGATTATGTTTAAACTATTTATCCTTTTTTATACTGATGACACAGTTTTATTATCTGATAATCCAGAGGATTTACAAAGATCTTTGAATATTTTCTCTGATTATTGTGACCATTGGAAGCTTGAAGTAAATACAGACAAGACAAAAATAGTAATTTTTTCTTGAGGAAGAATCCCTAAAAAAATATTTTTGTATAGAAGTGCACCAATTGAAATTACTTAGAAATACTTAGGTGTTATCATGTCTCGTACTGGTTTGTTCAGAAGTGCCAAACACATTTAACTAAACAAGCATCAAAAGCCATGTATGGAGTACTTAGAAAAATAAGGGTTTTTAATTTGCCAGTAGATTGTCAAATAGATATCTTTGACAGAGTTATAAGTCCAATTTTGATGTACGGGTGTGAAGCTACGAAAACATAGATATTTTAGAAAAGGTACACTTAAAATTTCTGAAATTTGTTTTACTTGTTAATTGTATGGTATATGGGGAAACTGGACGATATCCTTTAATATGTATAAAGGTACGAATGATTACTTATTGGGCTAAACTTTTGATGTCA